TTGTTCTTGGACTTGGCCGCCTTCTCGAGTCTCCGCTGTCTCCTGATCTCCTCTCTCGCCGCGGCGAAGGCATCTTCGTCTGCATCGCCGGCGGGGGCGGCGCTGATGTCCTCATCGGTGGAGGATACCTCCATCGAGTCGTCGGGCCGTACTGGCGCAGCGTTCTTGACCTGCTGCCACGCGTCGCGGCACTCCAGCAGCGTCTCCATGACGTCGTGATCGCGGAGTTCGGCGGGGTCGAGCGTCTTTTGGGCTGTTGAACCGTCGCGTGCCGGGGATGTGAGGATGGCAAAGTAACTTGCCAGTGCGGCGACGTAGCAGCCGAGGATCCAGTACTTTACGGCCTCGAGCGATTGGCTCGACTTGCCGTGGGCGTCTTTCTGCAGGATGGCCAGTTGCGGTTGCAGGGTCTGGAACTCGTTCACCAAGTGCTCGAACTCGGGGTATCTGCTCTGGAGGATCTTTGTGCGCTGCTCGGGACCCATGTCGTCCGTGATCTCGACGTCCTTGAGAACCTCTGTGACAACGTCCTGGTCCTCTTCGTCCTCCTCGGCGGCTGCCAGCCATTCGCCCTCGTCGAACAGAAAATCCCCCTCGGACATCTTAGCCAGCTTCTTCTGCTGGAGGCGCTTGGCCTCGGCCTCTTCCTCGAGCGCATCGGCCTCGGTCTCGATTTGGTCGGCATTGTAGTATTCCTTCTTTGAGGAACCCCACCAATTCGGGTCGTTCTCATTCTCTGCTCCTTCGCCCTCTTCCTCAACCTCCTCCTCGGCCGCAGCAGCCTTACCCTTCTTGGACTTCCGGGAGGGCTTCTTGGTCTCTTGGTCGGAATCGTCGCCGTCGTCGAGGTCTAGGATTTCTTCGTCCGAGTGTTCCAGGAACTTGTCCTCCTCGTCGGCCTTCCTTCTCCTCTTGGATTTAGGGCCCTCGTCGAACATGATCTTGTCGCGGTTCAAGAAGTACTCGTCTTCTGAATCGGCGACATCTTCGTAGCTGGTGATGGGGCCCAGACGGGCATCGGCGGGGTCGAAGTCCTTGGGGCCAGTGCGCTCGTTTTGGCCAGAGGCCTTTCTCTTCTTCGCCATCGTGGCCGATTGATTTGACCGAACAGATCTGGGGTCGAAGCGTAGGGTGGAAGGGTTGGAGCGAAAGTCGATTTCGGTGATGAGAATCGGGCGTTGGATGGGGCGGGATCTCTTTGCTGCACATTGACGGCTACGAAAAATGTTCTTGCACCGTCGAGCGCAGAACTTTTTAGTGGAGATGCATCGGCAGGGATGTTTTTCATTGGTTTTGAGCCTCAACCTAACGGTGGGGTCCACACTTGGCCGTCCCACGGTCAAATCGATGTAAGTCAGCAACATATCACTCAACTATCACCGTCTCAAGCACATCATTTGCTCTCTTCAATGGGAAAAATTGGAATATTTTTTTCTCAAAGCTCGAGGATACATGATAATCTCCGACCAAAATTGAATTCGAATACAAGCTGGTTGCACGAGATATGAAGGATCTAAGACTACTTCACAGTTACACATTGTACTTTCTTAGCGGCGCAAGCTGGCAAGCTGGGTCAACATGCCCAGTTGACAGAGCCGTTTGAGATGGGTACCTTGGGTATTGAGCGGCAGGAATATACAATTGGTGAAAATCGTATTGAATTCAACAAGCTTTCGAAGTGTCAGCACTGCTGTAAATCAAGATTGAAATCAGGAGGGCTAACCCAAGCTGGCCAACCTGTCATACCATTCCACCTAAACCAACGCCGTCAGCAGCCACTTGAAGGTACAATTTACCCCACCAGGAACGACAGGGACCTGGATCCTAATGGCTGCGCACACCCACGCACCTTACTGGACCGTACCTACAAATACCTGAGGGGAGCACGGGAGCTACTCCAACATCAACGCCTCGCGCGTCTCGAGCAATTCATCACCGACAAAGCCGGAACATAAAGTCACGACGGCTCCCTCTCTCCCCTTTTCCAATCGCCCTCGGCCATCTTCTCTCCTAACTCGAGAGGTATGAAATACGCGTCGCAAGCTCTCTGGATCGCCCTGCCCGCCCTCGCAGCAGCCCTTCTCGCATCCGCAATGGGTCTGTTCAACTGGAAGAATCACATGCCCGTTGATGGCAAGGTACGCTCAATTCCTTGAATCCCCCCTTTTATTCACATACGCATACTCACCCGCACTCTTCCCCAGACCGTCCTCTTGACCGGCGCCTCCGAGGGCATGGGCCGCAGCGTCGCCCTCCAACTCGCCGCAAAGGGCGCAAACCTCATCCTCATCGCACGCAACGCCGCCCGCCTCCAAGAGCTCGTCGCCGAGTGCAAATCCGCCGCCAAGAACCCGTCCACCCAGCGCTTCACCTACATCACCGCCGACATCACAAAGGAGGACTACGCCACGCCCCTCCTCGCCGAGGCCACCGCCTGGAACGGCGGCCGCAGCCCGGACGTCGTCTGGTGCATCGCCGGCATGGCCTCCACCGGCTTCTTTACCGAGGTGCCCTTCTCCGAGACCCGCAGGAACATGGACGTCAACTTTTACGGCACCGCCGAGATGGCTCACGCCATCCTCCGCGTCTGGCTCGCCCCCGAGGCCCCCGTCGAGGCCGAGCCGCGCCACCTCATCATGACCACCAGCGTCGTCGCCTTCTTCACCGTCGCCGGGTACGCCCCCTACGCCGGCTCCAAGTGGGCCATCCGCGGCCTGGCCGACACCCTCTCGCAGGAAGTTGAGCTCTACCCACAAAACGTCAAGGTCCACGTCGTGTTCCCCGGGACCATCACGAGCCCCGGCCTGGAGAAGGAGAACTTGACCAAGCCCCAGATCACACACCAGCTCGAGGAGCTCGACCCCGTCCAGTCGCCCGACGAGGTCGCTAGGGCTGCCATTAAGGGACTCGAGCGTGGGGATTACTTTGTGACGGTGGCGTGGCTGGGCAGCTTGATGCGGTGGAGCGGTCTCGGCGGTTCCCTGCGCAACAACTGGGTTGTCGACACGCTGGGCATCTGCCTCTCATCCTTGGTCTGGATCTTTATCTTGCCCGATATGTTGAGGCAAATTAGGAATTACGGCAAGAAGCACGGGCATCCTGCGACTTATGCTAAGCCCCAGCCGAAGCCAAGTTCATGAGGAATCGACTTTGGTGCTTAAGAAAAATGAAGGATAATTGATACCCCGTAATGTTTATTAATGACAACTCCAGTATCACGCTATGAGTTTACTGCGGTTCTCTAACACCCTACAACCCAGGGTCGGCGGGTGATCATAGAGTAGAATGTTGGTTGACTTGGCCCTTTTCACGCCTCAGTCCCTGTCGGTGGCTGATCAATATGTCCATTAAAGACTTGCGATAGGTGCGTCTCCGTCCGGACGGTCAACGGCTGCAAAGTTGCGAGCAAAGCCTTGTACTCTTGTGTCTCCAAATGAGACTTGAGGTGCTCCTGAGTCTTTGCACTACATGTGGCGAGAAGAAAAATAGGTGTTAGCGATTTGCAACATATGTCCCGGTGTAGTATGATAAGGTAGGAGCGAGAGGAAAAGCGAGAACAACCCAGTCCAGGAGCAACTACTACCCAGATGGGCCGTTCGTAACAAACTCACATACCGTAACCACAATGTCGCCAAACTCCTATCCATAACCTCTCTCAAAACAGCACAACTCTGCAACTCCCCCTCCCCAACCTCCCTCCCCCTCTGCGCTTTCCCAAACTCCTCCAAACTCCTCACAACCTCCTCCCGTCCCCCCTCCTCCACCGCCCAAAAATGCAAAACAGCAACCGCGCTATCACGAGAATCCTTCCCGGGGTCATCTTCCCGCTTCAACCAGCCGCCGGCGAGGTCATAGTGATGCAGATCATAGTCCGGGCTGCCGATGCCTTGAACGGTCTTTAGCAGCTTCTGCTCGTCCGCGAGGCGCATCTCGCGCTTGAAGACGTCGGTCGAGGTGTGGCCGAGGAAGAAGCCCGCCGGGTGGGTGTAGCCTTCGAGGCCCCAGAGGGTGTCTGGGGAGGAGGCGGAGAGGTCGCGGCCCCAGTAGTAGCTGTTTCCCAAGGGTTCGGTTGCGGAGACGGCGCAGAGGGCTACGAGTCTTTCTTTCCACTGAGGGGGTCAGCCGTGTGTAGAGTGGGTGCGTGAGAGTGCCTCGGAGGCGTTGAGAGTTCAACGCGATAGGTTGCAGGCTTCTTACTTTCTCCAGGGAGCCATCTGACCCGACGACACGGGCAACTACGAAGAACAACGGGCACGACATTCTGGCTCAAAAGTTTGAAGTGTTAGGTAGATGGGGTTTAACGTCGACGAGAGCTTTTCTGCCGCAAGACGAGCCCTGCCACGTACATCACGGCCTGCTTCACATATTAAAGCCCTCACATTCTCAGATATTTCGCATCGGCTGCTCATTCGGACGGTAGATTCCAACATTCAATGAGTGCGGGTGAGAGCTCTTGGAGTTGGCATCTGGGCTTACCCCGCGATTCGGTATGATTATCCTCAACAGTGCAGTCACCAAATCAGTCCGTCCGGCGTTTTGAGACCTTGTGCAGCTACTTAGCGGAATACTTCGGGCACAGCATTCAATAGCTTTTTCGCATACATAGCCGACCAGAATCACGAGAGCTGGTAATGAGGCATGTTGCGGGAATACTTTTCCTGATTCCGTGCTCCTGTCGCTTGAGGAGCTGTCTTGAGCGTGCCAGCATGGTAAGAGGTATGTAGGCAATTATACGTTCTTCAAAATATTTACAATTGAGAAATAAGCTTCACTCATGACTCTAAAGTGTCAAACCTCGCTAATTTGGGCGAAACGTCTGTTTGTACGATACCATGAATCCGGTTTTAAATAGTGTTTGATAGAGCATATTCTAGTGAAGGCTGTACAGTGAACTTCACGACAACTCTTATGTCTAAAACATGGTGTACTCTACAGAAGTAATTATCTTCTAAGTCTTCTCTTCCACTTGAATGTCCAAATCTTTCCCGGCCCCAGAAATCTCAAAGTAAGAATCCCTCCGGGAGATCAGGCCCTGCGGCAAATCGTCAAGTTAGACCGACATCAGTTAAACCTCTTCTATGAGAAGGGACACTTACCCCAGATGTGAAGGCTATCAGGAGACGCCTTGGAATGATTCGGCGGATGAGAACTATTCATTTGATCGCCGTCGACGTAGTGCTCAAAGATGAACTTGCTAGGGTCGAACCTACGTAAATATTTTTGTCAGCCGGACGGGAGTAATGCCACCCAAGCACGCCCAAACTCCCCTCGGAAATGGCAAAGAGGAAGTGAACTCACCAATAATCAAAGATTTGACTCCCCATGACATGCCGCCCAACGCCCCAGCAATTCTCATACCCCCGCTCGCGAAGCCAGTCATGCCCGAGGAACTGCAGATCCGAGTCGTGGGTCTCAAAGGAGGCGTGATGGACGTGGAACTTTGGGCCCTCAAAGAAGAAGAAGGAGTGGTGGTCTACGAGTTCTTCGCCGCGGTCGAGCCGTAGGAAGACTGTGACGTTGCGTCCGGTCTCGTCGTGCACGAGCTGCACTCTCTCGTGAGTTACTTTTTCTCGGGTGCCAGAATGATACAAGGGGATCAAATCAGGGAGTGTGTCTGACTTACGTCGCTGGGGATGAAGTTGAACCGAGTCGTGAAGAAGTCGTACGTTTGCTGAAAATCCGTCACGCACGCGCCAAAGTGTCCCAGTTTGTGCACCGGTGCCGGACCAATAGACTTGTAAGTTGACTTGACCAAAAACACGTTGAGATCTCGACTTACCTTTATCAAACCGCTGAAATGTGCCCGCCTCTCTGTGCTTCTCAGTCGGCTGTCATTGTAGTCAGACATCTTGCTACACCATCACAAGACAAGAATGACAGCAGAAGCACGTCTATGCATACAAAATTGAAGTCTCGCTCCGGAAAAACCGTCGCCTTCTCACGAATCTCCTGCCCGGAAACAAGGTGAAAGGGAAACTTATCAACACCGCCCTCGAACGTCACGCACCGGCCTCCACCAGGAGCCTTGCTCAACTCGTACGGCTCCGAAGCCCCGGGGAGCGTCTTGGACGCATACTCAAGATCCTCCTCGGACTCGACGACAAAGGCCGCGCCGCCGAAGCCGTCTTTGGCACCGGCTTCGGCGCAGAGGACGAAGGGTTCGGGCCCGTAGCCCCGGTAGTATACGCGAGTGCCCTCGCGAGAGGCCTCTACGAAGCCAAAGTCGCGGAAGAAGGCTTCGGCTCGTTCAAGATTTTGGTAAGTATAGTTTATGTGTGCTATTCGCACGAGGTTGATTTTGCGGGGTGGAGCGGTCATCTTTGCTGTTGTAAGGTAATTGAAGCTTGGTTGGGTCTTTGGAGGTGGGAATAACTTGTTCCTGGTCGGATATTGACACGATATACACTTGGAGGTAAAGGAACACTTGAAAACTTGAATCTTGGCATTTTGGCTATAAGTCTGAGCTACTCGAGTTTTATCATCCTTTTTGATAAAAATGTTTGCACTGCCGTAGTGTCTATCCGAGGTAGACCGGAGCAGCATCGTCAAAGACCGTGCCCGACTCCCTCTTGTCTTGGAGAAAATTACCCCGACGCAACGCAATCAAGCCAAAGAATAATAGCCCGTCACATCTGTCCGCGGAACGGAAATACTCACCATGTATTGTTTCATTCGGACTTACGACGCTTTGATGCTGCGAGATAACCGGCCGAGTTCTTCTTCGTATATGACGAAATTCGATCGTTGTCATCCATTCGTGAGAATATTTTTTCGGCGGCAAGCTCTTGAACAACAATCGCAATTGAAAATCATTTGGGGTCTCTAAAGATGACGATTTCGGAGACCGTCGCATCAACGACGGCCAGTGGGAGCCATGGCCCGGCGCCGGTGCCTCCAAAGGCAGATACTCAATCTCATGAGGGCAGCAGTGATTCCGCAGCTCTCGAGACTGACATGCTCATCATCGGCGCAGGTCCTGCCGGGGCCTCACTGGCTTGTTTCCTCGCATCATACGGTTCGTTCTGAGTGCGATTGGTTCTCGATGGGAGCTACCTTAGGCTGATATGTATCTTGACCTAGGACTTAAGGGAATCATGATCAGCGCAAGCCCCTCGACCGCAGATACACCGCGAGCTCATATCACAAACATGGCAGCTCTGGGTATGTTCTAGTTTCCGCTGGTCTCCGACCGCTTCTTTCCGATGTTCACCACGAAAACTTTTTGACATGTCTTCAGAGTGTCTCCGTGATATTGGTTTGGACAGAGAGCTTCAAGCGATTGCGACACAGGGTCATTGCATGCAACACACGCGTTGGTGTTATAGCATGGCGGGTGAGGAGTTTGCGCGTATCCCTTCATGGGGAAGTGATCCCAGAAGAAAGGTAACTATTCAACACTTCACGCTCAGGTTCGCACCAGGCAAAGATCTCAGAAGCTCACATCACTTTAGGGTGACTACGAACTCGCGAGCCCCTGCGACCCCGTCGACATACCACAAACCGCATTAGAACCGATCTTGGTTCGATACGCAGCACACCACGGCTTTGTCGTGAGATTCAACACCAAGCTCGTAACCTGGAACAGGGAATCTTCTCCCGAAGGGAGGTACTTAGCCACCGTCTGGGACATGGTCTCCAAGACCCACTACTCCATACGGACAAAATACATCTTTGGCGCAGACGGTGCTCGAAGTCTCGTCGCAAAGACACTCCAACTACCTCTGGTAGCAAAGCCTGGCGGAGGCCTGGCCATCAACGTTCTAGTCAAGGCCGACCTCTCTCATCTAATGGACCACCGAAAGGGCAACTTGCACTGGTTGATGCAGCCCGGGGTAGACCATCCCAGCTTCGGCTGGATGGGCATCGCGAGGATGGTGAAGCCGTGGTTCGAGTGGATGTTCATCCTGTTTCCGGACAAGGACTTTGACCCGTCGGCCGAGGTGACTGAAGAGGCGTACAAGAAGCGGGTCAAAGAATTCATCGGGGACGATACTGAAGTCGAGGTCCTTTCTGTCTCGAAGTGGTTCGTCAACGATATTGTTGCCGAGAGATACTCAGAAGGGAACATGTCAGTAAGCCCCCGACGAACCTTTCATCCTCGTACATCCATCGCCATGGCACAAAGCTAACGAGAAATCAGATTCTGCCTCGGCGACGCAGTCCACCGCCACCCCCCGATGAACGGCCTCGGCTCAAACACCTGCATCCAAGACGCCTTCAACCTAGCCTGGAAAATCGCCCACGTCGAAAAGGGCCATGCCGGTGCCGCCCTCCTCGAAACCTACAGCGTCGAACGGCAGCCCGTCGGTCTCGGGATCGTTGCCCGCGCCAACGAAGCCTTCCGAGACCACTACGCCGTGTGGCAGTCCCTGGGCATGCTGGAGAAGACGGCGGAAGAACGCGCCGCTGTCTTTGCGCAGCTCTCGCACACGACGAGAGAGGGGCGGGAGAAGCGTCGCGCGTTCCGCGAGGCTATTGGCCGGACGGCGCACGAGTTTCATGGGCTTGGCGTTGAGATGAACCAGGTTTACTCAGGGCCGGCGATCTATGCGGAGGATGAAGATGGGCCGTATGCGCCTTCAACGCAGGAAGCTGAGGACCCTGTTGCGTATTACGGTCCTGGTACTTATCCTGGCCGACGAATTCCTCATGTATGGCTAAATAGGGCGGTACCGAAGGAGCCCGTTTCAACTATTGATTTGGCTGGCAAAGGTGGCTTTACCATCTTCACCGGTCCCGGCGGAAGTCTTTGGCGCGAAGCGGCTGCTGCGGTTTCGGCGAAGCTGGGTTGCGAGATCAGGGTCTACTCCATTGGTTTCCGCCAGGATTGGGAGGACGTTTACTATGAATGGGAGCGCGTTCAGGGGGTTGAGGAGTCGGGTATTGTTCTAGTTCGACCGGATCGCTTTGTGGCTTGGAGACAGAGTGAGGTATCTGCTGACTTGGACTCGTGTTTCCAGAAGCTCCTGCTGGTGATGAAGACCGTCCTGCTCCGTGTTGATGAATGATGGAGCTTTAGTGCCATAGACATACTTGAGTTAGACTTGTCAGATCTACTTATACATTGCTCCCCGTATTCTCTGAACTCTAGTGTCTCATCAGAAGACCACAATCTTTTTTCCACGAGTTTTCTGGTGGTCGTTGTGGCCTGGATTGACTTCGATCAGCTGGTGAAACTCGCTCTTTTCCAACATGTGCGACATGAGCGTCCTGCGGTTTGGCCAATTGCAGCTTTCTACCTTCCTATGTCTTGGCTGTCCACTTACGTGTCAAAGCTTATTCTGCAACGAATATGATAAAGATAGGGAAGCGGAAGTGGTGACAGAAAGTGGAACCGGATGACTGAAAGTTGCTACTCAATCCTCACGATGGCCACGAAAGGTCCCATGCTCAGTCCCGGTTTTTGCAGCCGCTGCCTTTGGGGAGCTTTCGCGAGCACCTTGAATTTGTGGGATCGAAGACTCCCGTACATGTAGTCATTGACCCTTTTATAAGAGTGTACTTCTCGCTGACATTTCGTTTGGAGATGAAAGAGGCGCAGGGGAGTGCAAAAGTGCTGAGTAGACCAACATACAGTAGTGCAGCGAAACGATATCTAGATCGACTGGCGGCAAGGTAGAGGAATGGCAGTTCACATTTGTCATTCCTCTACAGCATAGCTTGTTACCCGTATCCTTTGCTAAGTCTAGAAGTCACACTGGCATCGTCGGAACCACCAGGCCTAACCGCCAATTTGAGTCTCTTATGATCAAGTCAGTCATACTGAGCCAACAAAGCCTCAGCCTCCTTGAACTCCCGTCGGATCGTCTCAATATGAGCCTGACTCCTCGGTGTAATCCGAACAGGAAACTCCAAAGGCGCCTGCAAAATCCCAGGATTATACGCATGCGGATCCAAAAGCACAACCTTGCCTGTGACAGGGTCCACTGGCTCAGCAAACTCGAAGGCCCAAAGAAGCTTGGAGGCGATACGCCACATGTTGCGCTCCGCGAGGTGGATGCCGGGACAGATGCGACGGCCGGCGCCGTAGTTGTAGTGGTCTCTGTTCTCCCACTCCGGGCTGCCTGCGTAGTCGTTGGCTAGCTTGGGGTGCTTGAGGTACCTGTCCGGATCGAATCGCTCTGCGTCGGGGTAGTTTTCTTCGGTGTGATGGAGGGCCCAGGTGGGTATGAATATTGTTGAGTCTTTTGGGATCAACATGCCTTTGTATTCATCATCTTTAGACACGTTCTCGTTAGTACTACTGTTGGTTGGAAAAGGAGGTGTCCGGTATCATGAACGAACCTTGGCGAACTTTGTGCGGAAGGGCAGTGACAGCACTGGATGTTTCCGTATGATTAGTTCTATAAATGCTTCCACGAGAGATGACAAAGTGGCGAGAAGACTTACACCGGACGCCAGCGCATACCCTCCTTAACGATGCAGTTCACATAAGGTAGCTCCGAAAAGTCATCCCAGCGAGGAGACCGACCACTCCCACAAGCCTCATCAATCTCAACCTGTGCTTTCCTCTGGACATCAGGATGCAGCGCAAAAGCGAGGACCAGAGTCAAAAGTTGCGCGGCAGTGGTGTCGGCACCACCCTCGATGATTTCCCCCATGAGATTGGTGAAGGCGTGCTGGCTGATCTGTTCGGGCCAACCCTTCTCTTCGTACTCGTCAAGCAGGCCGTCGATGATGCAGTTTCGTCTCTCTCCGCGCGCGCGACGCTCTTCGACGAGTCGACGTGCTTTGGACCAGGTCGCGTCCATTGTCTTACCGGCGTCGAGTGCGCGGCGTTTCCAGAAGGCCATTGAGGAGGGGATGTATCGCAGGAAGGTGAAGACGTCTACCGGAGGGGCGGCTCCAGGCTCCATCGATGCTGTCCACTATGAGGGTTCACGTTAGTACACTGATGTCTGCCTGTGTGCCATGCAAACTTGATCTCACCTTTGCCATTACATCGTAGACTCCCTAGATCTGTATTTTAGCTCGGATTTCACAACGAAAGGGGGCCAAGCTAAGCGTCACTGCATTGATTGAAATAGCTTACATGTCCCCAGAAAGAGTTCATATCGGGTGCTCTAAAGCCGTATGTGATGGATGTTACCACTGAAGCAGTGTACCTACGGATCTCGTTGAAGAACCCCTCAGGTTTGTCTAGAAGGCGAGTCATTAAAACCGTGGCCCTTTCACAAACATGTCAGCAACCATGAAAAGACAACTCAGAAAAGAGAGTCTGATGTCTGTTGGTAGCTTACTCTGCCTCTTGAACTCGAAAGTGTTGCTCGTCAAGCCTCTTTGGAGAGAAGTTGTGCGAAATCACCTTGCGTTTAGACCGCCATGTGGTGTCCATCTGCTCGAGAGCGAGGTGGTCACCGTGTGTGAGTAATCTCCCCACATAACTAGGAGGTCGATCGGAGTAAATGCTGCCTTTCTCTACGAGAAGCTTATGGATAGCCTCACGGTCACACAGGACGATGATCGAGGATGGTCCAACTTTCAAGGAGAAAATTGATCCGTATTGAAGTGCCCATTCTCGCAACCTAGACCGTTGAATATTCTCAGCTCACGCGTCCCATGAAGTAATAATATTTGACTGAAATAGGATACAGGTTTACTCACTGCTTGTAAAGCCCTGTTCTGGGGATCTGATGAGAGTTTCCGAGGACTGGCAGTGTAGGTGGTCCAGGTGGCATCCGCGGATCTCGTTTTCCTATCTGCAAATTCTTATGCAGCAAGACGCCGAAAATGAGAGTTATAATTGCAAGTTGCCACATCTCAATCAATTTCAAGATATCTACTGAGCTACTTCATCATTGGAACGAGTAGCCTCCATTGCTTTTGTACACGCCCATCCATACTACCCTACACCTCTGGTGTCGACCAACACTCGTGAAGTTAACATCTACATCCTCGTTAGCAATGCTCTTACACTGATTGGACCCGGACGAATCTCCATCTGTCAAAGGCATGGTGTTCCTGAACGAAATTTGTCCGGCGGAGTACATACTGTGAGAGAATCAGTCCGGGGGCGGGGAACCGGCTCCTACGGGAACCCCGCGTTTCTCATCTACCAACCAACATGTCTTGCCATATTCTTATTCGTTATAGCGTGAGATCAGGAATGGTCCTTGGCCCTTGGCCGTTGAGCTGCCCCCCAACGTCTAGCAGCTTTCCCCGGATTTGCAAGATGCTAGATGCCAGAACGGGCTTGGCTTTGGGGCCAGGATCCAGACAACTATGGGGTCTTGTTCCCCGCAACCCGGTCCAGCCGCGGCCCCAGCCGGTATGAGTGGCAGCGGAGCTTTCCACGTCATTTTGCAGCACTTATTGGGGGGGTTTGTGAAACTGACTGACCCACCATAGGTGCCGCAAAAGCACCAAACAAGATCGCGTCCCCTGCGGACCCCTTCCAGACTGGTTGAATGCACACGATCTTGACTTCCTACACAGTTGCTTGGCCTTCAGTGACCTACTTGACCATGGTATCTGATGGTGATAGAGATACGGGAGTGCCATCTCCGAGCCGTACTCAGGAGGGCGTCACTCAGGAGGGCGAGATATCAGATCTTGCTTGCAAATCATGCAAGAGGTGAGAGAGATCGTCTGTCTCTTCGCCCATGTCTACAGCACCACCATTGACTGACACTTCCCTGATTGGGAATTTAGGAGGAAAGCAAAATGGTAGGTCATTTCATACTTTAGCTTTTACTCTCTTCCAGCGCTCACCTGCATGTATCCGTGTGGTCTAACAATACCAGTGATCGTCTTTTACCAAGCTGTACACTCTGCGAGAGGAATTCCCAGGCGTGCGATTATCCATCAACGCGACTAAAACCAGGCCCAAAGACAGGTACCGCACTAGCACCGTAAATTGAGCTCCATGTCAGAGCCGGCTGACAGCGAACTACCAAGGCTCACGACATCGTAAGCGGCGGCGATTAAGCAGCAGTCTCGCTCATGTTGACGAAGAACAGCATGTCGAGGCGGAGGACGACGCTCCCTCCGTGAGACCGGAAGTCTGCTCAAGATCACTGCCCGCTGTTGAGCCACAACTCCTTGACTTCCTTTCTACGGGGCTTACAGACCACGATGACTTGGCCAGTCTTCACTCGGATTCTTCGTACATTTCCGATACGCGCTTCGTTCGCGCCATCAGCTTGTCCTCCCTTGTCCATCCATCTCACGACGTAAACTTGACGCCCCCTTCGAGTGTCCCCTCGCCGAACCGTCGTGGCTTCTTCTTGCAACTTGCCGGCGCTCAAAACACATTGCAGCAGGTATGCGATTCGCTAGACTTGTCAATCGCATCGCTGCAAACATTGTGAGAGGATCAGGCTTTCACTAATTGATGTAGGCGGCTTCGCCTGGTCACTAACATCTACTTCAGGACCGACGCATATTTCGACAACATGACTGCATTCTCACTCTTCCATCAACCTTCATTCGGAGACAAGGTCCAGGGAATCAAGAATGCACTTCACCTCAAGGCGCTATTGGCATCAATGTTCTCCTTCTCAGCTCGTTTCGCCACAGCTCCCGATGCAGAGTCTCCGCCAACAATGGAAGCCTACAGCGGCCCAAGCCATGAGCAACTACACAAATCGGCAATGGGTTTCGTCAACGAGGCAATCGAAGAATACGACGACAAGCCCCCGCCACTTTGCATCCTCCAGGCTCTCATATTATGCACCTTCTATGAGCTCACAAGAGGCGTCCGCGGTCGCGCATGGCGAATGCTGGGCAACTGCGTCAGAATCGCCTACGAGCAACGACTTCATCTTGTTGACAGCATCACGCAAGCCAGACCTCAGCCAGGAACGTCTGGCGTCGCTCAATGGTCAGCGATGGAGGAGAGGCGCCGCAGCTGGTGGGCCATCTGGCAGATGGACATATTCGCCTCGACGGTGCACAGGTTGCCCACCGCGATTGACCAGAGCGTAGGCATGAACGAGAATCACCTCCCGGTGCCAGACGTGATGTGGTTTCAAAACATGTACCAACCGAGCTGTCCGCTTGATCCTGCTCCATTGGAGCGGGCGAAGAAGCTGAGCAAGTCTGGGAACACCAGCGATGTCGCGTGGTTCATCGTTCTCAATTCTATCATGCGTAACGCTCAGGTTCTGGCTCGCGGCAATCTTCACAGTGTGCTTTCGGACCTCAGTCCCGCACCGGGAGCCGATTCTCGGCCTCTCAAGCAGTATCTCCACGGATCATTCCGCAAAAGGCAGTCGGCAGAAGATGGGCAACAGCTACCCGTTCTCATCGGAGCTCTCAAGCAGACTGTCGCGCTACTACCAAGATCACTCACATACCAAGGGGCTCAACTAGACTTCAAGTCCACGGGTACTTCGTCGAGCAGCGATTGCCCTCAGCTGCCATCCGAGAGACGTTCGAATGCTTCACAGCACGCAATCTACCTCATGATCCAGCTAGCACGATTCATGATCTACCACCATTTCGCATTCAACGAGATCTTACTAGGCACAATTTTCTCAGAAACAGACAGTCCTCCTTCATTTGGGTGGACATCGTCATCCAAGGATGAAAAGGAGAGGCTGTCCAACTCAGAAGGCCTCCGGAACTGCCTCGAGGCATCAGACGACATCCATTCCATCGTCAGCCGCTCTTCAGAAACACACATACAATGGACGAACCCATTCTTGGCGAGCACGGTATGGCTCGCCGCCTCATTACAGGTCCTCCGCAAAGTGTTTGCACCGTCGACGTGTAACGAGGCATCGGAGATGAAGATCAAGGAGCTCCGTGCAGTATGTCAGAAATATACCGACTTTTGGGGAACGCCTGAAAGTCTCTTACAGAATCTTGATTCGTTGGAGGAACGGCTAGCACAGAAAAAGGCAGAGATTGCGGCGATTGAAGCGACTCACATGCTAGGCTGCGCATCATATCAACACGCTGGACATCATACCTCCGCCTTCAACGGAACGACTTCATTGCAGAACTTTGGTCTCATGATGGGGCCTGAGCTGGACCAGAACTCTTTATTCACATCCGTAGGGCCGGGACACCAAGGCCAAGACGTGCCCACACCAATGTCGCCGCGTAACGCTTCAACCGCCCAGGCCAACTGGTTTGTTGACGGGCAGCAAGATGGCGCGGAGGTTACTACAGATGGATTAGGGATTCCCGGTCTCAATGCTTCGGATGAGTTTGCCGGGTTTCCGGAGGGTGACCCGGAGCTGAGCTTCTTCATGTCTACCTTATTGTAATGAGTGCGTGATACCCCTTGTCAGATCGAGGATAGATTTAAGTCTCCAAGGCAGTCAGCGTTGAATTCTGGAATCGATTTTCTTCGAAGTCGTGATAAGGTTGCTTGAGGTTCTTTTCACAAGGCGTGACTGCCGCCGGGCTAGGCTGGCTTGAAGTATTTCTACTCCAGGTCGACCGAGTACAGTATGCAACTGTGTGCGCCCTTCAGTCTTTCACAGTAGAATTGCCCAGTGAAAGGAATAAATCCCTGTGTTTCCGGTCAAATGCTAAACTAATTTGGGCTGCATTGCGACGGACGGACTGATTCTATGCAAATCTGTCTCAATCCCACATACCGGTCTAATACGAATCAACGAGAAATAGGTTGTGACAGGGAAATAGGCTGTGTACTTTGCGCATTTTGAATTCCGGGAATCAATTCATCTCACCATAAACCTTCTTCATTCGAGTACCAGTCTTCGTAGCCATTCACAGCTTCAAGCCAGAGCCTCACAATCACGACCTACCATAACACCACGATACAAGATGAGCCCTTCGTGGACACACTTGGTGCGCTTCGTCGCTGAAGAAGACAATGAGATACACCTAGGCCAGATCGACGCCAGCCAGTATCCTGATGTGGGCCTAGCGACACTGGAAGGCCAGAAGGTCAAAGCCAACGTTGTAGTTGGAGATGTTTTTGATGGGCGTGTCACAGAAGATGTCTTGCACATTGAACACGTAAGTTCCGCTATATCTTACCATCTGTGGTTACTTGGTTTGCATGTTTACTGAGAAGATTGTAAACGACCTCTAGCTTCTATCACCCGTCACCGCCGACCAAGTCCCAATCATCCGATGCATGGGACTCAACTACCGCGACCACGCCAAGGAAGCCAATATGCCAATCCCCGAGGTCCCCGTCCTCTTCATCAAGCCGAGGACAGCTTTGACTGGCCCGCACCCATCCACGATCAACATCCCCAAGATTTCTCAGGACGGGTCGAGCGACTACGAGGCCGAGCTTTCTCTGGTTCTCTCAAAGTCTGGCCGTGATATCCCAGAGGAAGAGGCTATGGAATACGTGCTTGGGTATACTTGTAGCAACGACGTCAGCGCCCGGAAGCAGCAGTTCAAGAACAGCCAGTGGTCTTTTTCGAAAGGTGAGTTGTGAAGAGTCTGCGAATGGGACATTCATGAAGGGCAAGTCGCTCACTTCAGGATTCGGATGCTGACATTTCACATAGGTCTGGATGGATCTTGTCCCATAGGGCCTGTCCTGGTTGCAAAATCCGCGATTAAAGACCCCCATTCTCTACAGATTCAAGCCATCTACAACGATCAGGTCGTCCAAGACTCCAACACGAAGTGAGTTTTCAGTACTCCTTGCACTGATACGAGCGGGCGTTACAGTTGAATGCTGACTTGATGAAAAGGGAGATGATCTTTACCATCCCACAGATGATTTCGTTTCTGTCACAGGGTACGACTTTGGAGAAGGGCACAATCATCATGACGGGCACTGGTCCTGGTATTGGCGTGATGAGGGACCCGCCCATCGCACTCCATGACGGAGATGACATGAGGATTGAGATTTCTGAGATTGGCACTCTTGTCAACCGTGTTCGGTATGAGTGAAGCGGCCATCTAAGGATGTGCTTTGGAGATTCATATACAAGGCCGGGTTAGACTTAGACATGGTTAAATCCCAAATTCATCGAACTTACGGTCGCAACATGTCTCTAGCGACTTTTGTGACTCCCGAAGAGCGAAGCAACTGCGTGGTAATTCACCTATGACTTACCCAGGTTCATTTCGAGGTCTATTCAAGTCTGCGAAGCGGATGATGGCTCTCAAAATCACCTTTTACATCACTTCACCAGTCTATCCTTGGTAGCGCACACCAATATAAGCACCGAATCGTGGAAACCCACCCATGCTATTATTTACCAGCTATCTCGACATCAGCTTAAAACGACGTGAGTTTTATTTCAATAGCTCATCAGCGGGGGATCTCAACTACCGGGTGCCACGCCAATCGTCATGCCGCCATCAACAGCAAGAACCTGACCCGTCATCCACTTCGACTCCGGCCTGCATAAAAACACTACAACATCAGCAATATCCCCCGCCGTCCCTAATCGAGGCCACGGCGTCGCCTTCTTCATCAGCTTGTGTATCCCAGCATCCTCAAGATTCCCCCTCGCCAGCCCCGTCGCCACGACGCCCGGCGCTACGCAGTTGATGTTGATGTAGTCCTTGGCATGGTCCAAAGCACCAGCCCTCGTCATGTGGTTGACCGCAGCTTTTGTCGCGGAGTAGGCCACCTCTCCCGGAAACCCGACGACGCCCGCGCAGGACGAGATGTTGACGATGCGTCCGCGGCTGCCCCATGCAGGGTCGAGGTCTTGCTGGAGGAACTGGCGGATGGCAAGACGGCACATTTTTGCGGTGCCGAGGGTGTTTACGGCCGACATTCGTTCCCATAGCTGGTCGGATTCGTCTGCGAAGAGGTGGAATGGGGCCCAGTACCCTGCGCAGTTGATGAGTATGTCGAGGCGGCCGAACTTCTGCAAACTTGAGTTAGTTGAGACCTAGAGGGAATGAGGGCTGCAGATCTGGGGAAGTTTCTAGCTCACCTCATTTGACTTCTTGAAAACATCCTCGACGACTTTGGTGTCTGTGATGTCACCCGCGAAGAAGATGGCCTCGCCGCCCGCGGCGGAAATCACCTCTGCCGTCGTCTGGTCGATGTCTTCTTCGTAGCCTTTGGAGTTTGGCAGGTCATGAAGATCAAAGGAAACGATTTTGACTCCGAGAGACGCAAGCTGGATGGCGATTGCTCTTCCGACTGCAGAAGCCACGATCGTCAACATGTGTTGTTGCTACCCTGCTACATAGAGGCGGGACTCACTGCCAGATGAGGAGCCTGTGACCAACGCCACTTTCCCATCCAATTGTCTTGCCATCTTTGCAAAACTTTGAATCTGAGAAAGCGAAAAGTCTTTGTTAGAGTCTCGGATTGCTGCTATTGAATGAGGTAGAAGTGGTTTTCGTGTAATTGAAATCGCGGTGGTTCTAAGAATCAGTTTGCAAGACACTACGGTGTGGCGTTAGAGGCGTTTGTCTGTTGTTGCAACTTTTAAATCACTTCAAAGTCAGAACTGGTGCAATTCAAATGGACTTTCAGCTTCAGTAATGTGTGGTTGATGTCCTGTCTTGGCCGGCATTCGAAAGTTAGGCCGAATATCAGTCCGCAGTGAGACGGCAGGCTGAATACGGCGCAATTATCGACCAACATAACCAGGGTGTTGCTTGGATAACGGCTACTCCAACGACCCTTAAGATGCCTTTCGATACGCAAGAATATTACGGCAAAAAGATCACGAGTTTGTGTCTCATCTCGAGTGTTTCGCCGTGCATGCGCCGATTAGGCAAACCTCGGATTCGTCATGTTCGCGCGTAAGGTGTTCTGCGTCACCGGTGCCGCATCGGTAAAGCTTCCCGAACTAACCCAGTGTTATCAATTGGTGCCTCAGTTATGATTTCCCAGTGCGATAGCTGATTCATACAAATTTCTAGGGTATAGGTCGATCTACTGCAATAATACTAGCGCAAAGAGGCGCTGCTGCTCTCGCGGTCAGCGACGTGAATGCAGCGGGTTTATATGAGACCGTCAGAGAGTGTGAGGTCCTCTGTGCCATACCACTTCAGCTGAAACGCGAAGATGAACCAGCTACTGACAATTGAGAAAAGGCGAGAAAGCTGGGGCCAAAGTCCTAGCTTCCAAAGTCGACGTCCGCCAAGATCATGAGGTGAAGTCCTGGATCCAAGAGTCTTTCGCCAAGTTTGGCAGACTCGATGGGGCTGCCAACGTTGCTGGAGTCGCTGGCGGGACGGGATCTACAATCATTGAGACAATCGTGAGAATCAGCCCCTCCTCTCCAGAGCTCGTATCTGTCGTGATCGGTGTTCGCTGACGTCCTAGCTTCGCAGGCACAAGAAGACTGGGACAGAACCATAGGCGTCAATCTCAACGGGGTTCTCAACTGCATGCGAGCTCAACTACCGTTGTTACCAAAGCCAGGAGGAGCAATCGTCAATGTGTCAAGCACCTCCGGCCGGAGAGGTCTACCGCACAGCGCCGCGTACGCAACAAGCAAGTTCGGCGTCATTGGGTTGACAGAATCAGCCGCTGGGGAATACGCCAAGGATGGCATCCGGATCAACACGATACTGCCGTGAGTGAACTCCTCAAGTGCTACGAGAGCTTTGTGAGTCTTAACCTAAGGCTGGAATCAGCGGGCCGGTCGATACCAAAATCTTTCGAGACGGCGAGGCATTGGGACTCTTTGACTCGGACACGCTTTCCAAGGATACTTTGCTTCGCCGGATGGGCCAACCTGATGAGATCGCAAAGGTCATCTGCTTTCTCTTGAGTGAAGATGCCTCATACGTGACAGGAGGTAAGATAAAGACTGATAATGACTTGATTGGCATAAACTTACAGTCAACGCAGCACACTGGAATGTTGACGGGGGCTATCTGGCTTGTTAGATTCGTTGATGACGGTCTTGTATGCTAGAAACACTTTTATGCTATTCAATTCATTTCCAGCCTTCAGTCAGAATTTCTCGTCAATCCATCGGCGCAGGCGTCTTCGACCACCGTCCTCATAAGGTATGCGCGCAGGGAACGACAACCAGTGTCTAGCCCATGTCCCGAGGTCTTGCAATTAAGAACTTGAGAGTTCACGAGGAGGGTTTTCGTAGGTCCCATGCTGTAATCATTCAAGTACAACAACTTTGCAATGTTCCATTCTCCTTCCAACGTTATGAAGAAAGCATGCGGGTCCTCAGGTTTTCATATTCCTTGACCACCTGACTCATGATACGCCTCTTGATCCTGTCATCACCTCCATGGAACTCCGAGCAGTAAGCCAGCAGTAAATGTCACTCTTAAAAGTTTTCTCTAGCAGTCGCAGCTTCAGCCCCGCGGGCCATGGTGCTGGACGATCGTCGCTGGAGATTCTAGCGTGACGTGTTTCCAAATACTGCCTCGTGTTAAAATTGCCAAATACAGACATTGAGGACCGTCTGCTCGAAGGGACCACAAAGCCCGGCTGGTCTGAGCTGACAAATTTTGGGTTCCGGGGACAACTTTGCCAACTTTCACTGATTGGGAAACAACGCCAATGCCGTATATCCCATGTTGTGCTGCCATATTTGTATATGGATAAGCGCCGTTCCGAGCTCTTTAAACTCCAGGTAAAACGAAGTCCCGTCTCGTGCATCAACCACCTCACTCACGTATACCATGTCCCACCACATCACAACCCACGACGCAGCCGGAAAAGCCATCTTCTCCCACGCCTCAGGGACCCGAGAATCGCACCAAGTCCTCTCGGGCTCAATTCAAGTCCTCGCTTCCACCCACAACACACCACTCGACCTCTCCAGCGAGGCGGACATTGAACAGTACAAGATCGATCGCACGCAGTCCCTGTTCCTGAGCTCGCGCGTCATCGTACTAGACAAGGGCACCTCGGCGCTCGTCACGGTCCTCAACCCTGGCGAGGAGTGGCCGATGCACAGGACCATGACGTTTGACATGGTGTATATGCTAGAAGGCGTGGTGGAGCTGCACCTCGACTCCGGGGAGAAGCGGGTCGTGAGGGCCGACGATTCGGTCACGCAGAGGGGGATGAAGCATAAGTGGGTGAATGTCACGCCGGACGGCGGGGTAGCGAAGGGGATCGTCTTTGCGCAGGCTGCCGGGGATGTTATTCAAGCTGGAGGCTATAGCCTCTCCAATGGTTGGGATCGATTGGTAAATAGCGGTGGATGAGGGAGGTAATGATACCTGACTGTATGGACGACACATATTCACTCTTTACCACTGCTAAGGGGGTCCAGCCGCTGCTCGGACTTGGGCTGTGGAATATCATAATTGCTAATATCTCATCACAGCAACTTCAGAGACTATTTATGGTGGAACAGGAAATGCCAGAACTAACAAGTTAGACAGTAAAGTACTAGCATATGACAAACAGCACACGGTGGTAGCGAACCCACGAGGTAAAGGCTTCGTTCTCCCCTTCGGGCAATGTGATTCGATTTGCAAGTGTAAAGAATGCGATAGCAGAGTACCTTAGGTACTGCTAAAATGGTACAAATTCTCAGGGTACGCCAAAACGAACCGAGTGAGCCTAGAGAAGCCATGGTCCTTTGCAACGGTGTTCTAGCTTTTCGTATCTGCACTGCCTTGCTTCAGTGCCTCATCAACAACTTTACATGGATCCGCAACCTTCGTTAGCACGTGCGAATTTGCCCAACCTTTTGCGCAATTGGGGGGCATCCAAGTTATTGTTGTTTCCACGTATTGTTTGTCCTTGTTCGTCGGGTGCTCTGGGTCATCTAAGACCTTGATTTCGAAACGGACAATTCTCATGTCTGGGCGATATTTCTCTTGGCAAACCTCGTCTGGCCAACCGATTCCGTCCCACTTTTGCTTCTTTTGACCAAGATCGGTTCGGCGGTAAACGAAGGGGGCGCCTTTACATGGAAGCATGTTGGCTTTCCGAATCAATTTTGACTCGTGGTATTCAAAACGTAAACGCGAACTACTGGAGAAGTCGGGGTGCACCGAGATGATGACATGGTAGGGATGTTCGGGGTCTCCATCGTACCGATAGGTGCCGAGCAAACGTTCATCAGGTCCTTTTCCAGGCCACGCATCTTCTGCTTCAACTATGAAATCTTCGCCTTTGCCAGACATTTTGAACGGAACGATGTTTTATTAAAGCCGTGGTGGGTCGAGTGAATATTGGGTGCAATCAGATAGTTTGAGGATGGAAGCTGCCTTGGGGTGTCAATACTGGCTGGATAGGCAGCTTTGCCATCGCTTTTATATACTTACGACTTTCCCCGTATCCCATTTTGAAGACTCGTCATCTCAAACGGTACCATGAATACAAAGTACGGGCATATACCGCGCGGTATTGAATATGGTAAATGCGGTCAACCTCTGCTTCGTGTCAAAGGGGTTCATCGTTGTGGAACAGTAACCGTCTTTGCTGAACGACGCGGGTGACCATCTCTTTTCAGCAACATCCTATTCAACTGACGGATAACGACTGAAGAATCATAGGAAAGTATCTTAGCTAATGTTCACAGCTCTCGGCAAGCTTCGCTAAATAGAGCATCATGCTGAAAGGCGAGGGCAATTCTGTTCAGAAATCTGAACAATCTCTACCGTTTCCCTGATCATCGAGAGACTATTCACAAAAGCCCTTTCATAGACCCGTCAGAGTTTGGCCCCATAAGAAGTAATTTATTCCATTGAAGTGCGTTGGTTCAGCAATTCAAAAAACTTCAATAGGACGACCGTCAAGGGCAAGGAGACACCCGTGACAGCCGATAACATAATCGCCAGATATCCCCTCCATAGCTACCAGTAGCGGCCTCTCGAGTAATCCGATGGAAGAATCAAGTTGCGGGGCTGTTCGTGCATGAATCAGAGACGGTGATAAAGAGCATCATTCAAGAACGATGGAATGGGCAGTGTCGCCCTATTTTGCTCGTGGAGCTTGGCAGAGCTCCATGGATACTTGCCTAGCCAGATGGACATGCCACGAGACTTGACAGCATTGCTTACTGAACCGACTTATGAGCTTGGTACGTCCCTTGATAGACTCAGACGTATGCAATATGAGATGGAGAGCTTTCTCAGGCTCCTTGCAGGGTTCACATCGACGAGCCATGCAGCATGGCCTGCTTCACCGATGGTCTGGACGAACTCGAAGACAGACTCCCTTGATGATTAGGAAACGCTCGAGGAACGATCACGAAGCCACCTTACACAGCTTTGCTTCTCACGCATGCCGCGGAATTTTATTGAGGACGCGCTTTGTGAGAAGTCGTACTCGACGCTCTACATGCATGAACTCATTACAACTTTCCTGACTACACGCTATGTCGCTTCGCATCTCGGGTGGAAGATTCACTAACAAATTTGACTTCCGTTTCGCCTATGTTCGCTAATCGACTAGGTCGTATCTAGGTCCAAGGGTGATGTACTCTAGGTCACACTCACAGTCTGACTGCTAGAGAAGAGCCCCGCTCTCACCAGTGAGAGCAGCTCCTCACATCTGTTACGATGTCTGGCAAGCCTTCCAGCGGATATATTCTTGTAGCCTATCATTTAAAAGGTGGCCAATAGAGAGAGTAGCGGCAGAGCGCTTGATCTGGGCTCATCACGCCCGTCATGTTTCGTGACGATATCCAAGAGGCTTCGCACATGCGTTCTCATTTGGTTAGCAGATAGGGGACAAAACATCCGTCGTCCTATGGTTCCATCTTCGCGGAAAGCTCTGCATCTCATCATTCAGTCACACCGAACCCTCTCCCGTACTATTCCTCAACCGACCCGATCGCCTTGCCTCGGAGAAGATATCTCACCGAAGAAGGAAGCAGCACCTCAAACCACATCGCCAATGAGTCCTTAGCAACTCCACCAACAACCCAATCACGCCCGTAATTCGGCAGGCCTCAACCCAGAAACCGAAATCCTGCTTCCCTCCCCAACCCGAGTCCCGGAAACTATCGAAAGTCCATCTCTCATTAATGGCCGCCTCATTCATTAGGCGTCTGCCGCTCAGCTCCGTGGGATGACCACCCACCATCCACCACCCATGACCCCCTGCTCGTGAGGCTGACGATGGTGCATATCCCTCGCCCCCACTCAAATCGGAACCCCCCTTCTCAAGTCCCGGGTCGCAACACCGTAACCTGACCCCTTTCCTTTCCTAAATGCCACCCCTCCCTGCACTGGAATCCCGGCTCCGGACCCCCGCGTGGGCCCCGGGTACATGGACCATTTTGGCGACGCCTTAGATGGGGTGATGAGAAATGCTTTCCGACCCCCCTGACGACGGATTGTGGCGCGCGGGTTGGATATTCCAGGTCAACGTAACAATTGTTGGATTTACGAGCATTAGATATGAGGAAATGGCTCACGCTGACCATCATGTCACCATTTGATGAAACATCATCGCAACATCAATCACGAAAACTGCGGATCAAGAGACGGAGGTGAGCGTTACCAGAGACTTTTTTTTGGCGCTCATTTGATATCAAGCTTGTGTAACACACCAACAACAGAAACCCCATGAATGATTTTGCTCCTTCTCCCAAGCCGTAACACAATATCTAGACCTAAACCTCCCTTTCCGAAAAGCAAAATCCCAAGTAAAAGCTGAAAAAAATAAAAGAAGACAAAAAGGGGAGACAAATTCCTCCGATCGAACCTGCTTTCTACCCTGTAACCAAAATCCGAAATGCAATTTTGATGACTCCCCCGAAACCCACGCAGATGTCGTGACCGAAATCGAAACCTGCCGGGAGAGATGCACGTATGCTTACATGGAACATCACGCCCTACAACCAATCCGAAGCCAATTCACAAGATGAATGCAGAGATTCCTCCATATCACACCGAATCCGATCCTCGAGAACTCAACGCTGACCGTGGTGATGCTGAGGCGGCGGCGGAGGCGGCATGATGCTGCCATCGTGATCGACCTCGACCTCAAACATGGGAATATCCTCCGCCTTGAAGTACATGCCCAGGTCGTCCCCGCCGGCCGCCGAGATGGAGTACATGTCCTTGCCCAGCGCCACCTTGCGAACCTTGGCACCCAGCCCCCAAAGCCTGCCCGGCGTCATCTCCTGGGCGAGCACGTTGTCAAACGTCTGCCACTGAGACCGCACGTGGGCGAGCGCCGTCCTCTGCAGGGCCCGGTGGCTCGGCTGGCAGTTCTCGACAATCTTCTTCTCGCCGTGGCCTCTCCAGTTGATGATGAGGCGGACGGGCTTCGAGGGGGCAGTGGAGATTGCCGGAACCACGGCGGTGGTCATCGCTGCGGGAACCATACCTTGAGGTGGTGATGGGAGTCGCATGCCAGGGGGAAAGCTCCCCCGTGGGGGCGGCGGTGGTACACCGTCTGGTGCGCGGGGGAAGGTGCGTGGACGGTGGCCAGTCCAGCCTGGAGGGGGAGGGGGAGGTTGCGATATCGCGGCCATGGGGGGCGCGGGGATGTACGACGGGCGTTGTCCAGGGGCCGGGCGGCGCATACGCGTGGTTTGTTCTGGTTCCGAGTCGACGTCTTCTTCAGAGGAGGAAGAAGAGTCGTCCTTGGTGTGCTTGCGGGATTTTCGCTTGCTCTTGCGCCGGGAGGACTTTGTCTTCTTACCCCTCCTGGAAATGATGTCGTCGTTGTCGCTGTCAGAGCCGGCAGACAGAGAGAGCACATCAGAGGCGTCCATGGTTGAGGCTTCACTGCCTGAGCTTTCAGAGTCTTCTGATCTCACGCCTCGGGGGAAGGCGAAGCCGTTGGCTTCGATGAATTGGTACACCTCCTGAGAGGATTTGGTGTGGAGGTTCTCAAAGGCATCTTCCAGATCGCGGCCTGTTGCTGAAAGAATCTCCTGGCGTTTACCCCGGTGGACCTTGACAGCGTAGATGGCGTATGACTTGTTAGGCTGGCGAGAGGTATAAATATCAATGACAGCACTGCGGCCAGATATCAGACGAAGATTGTCTGTAGGACGAGTTAGTTCTCGTGTGTCTGACACCCCTTGAGAAGATGTGAAGATGCCTACCTATGATCTGCTCGCGCCATACAAGGCACAACGGGTTGGGAGCCATTACCGTAGATGCAGGACGTCTTGACAATGTTGCGGATTCGGTTGTGTTGTTCAGCAGAACGAGCATGTGCAGTGTAAGGCGTGAAGAGACTTGATAAGGTTGGCGAAGAAGAAGGGCGAGGACGGAAGGCCAAGGACGCTTCTTATACATCACGGCTGCATCTCCGGGTCATCATCCCATAAGCAACTCAAATCGGTGGCATGCAGAGGACCCTGCAGCCTGAAAGGCGCACCTCGGGCGTACCGTAGCAGTACTTGGGCGGTTGCGTGGTCCACGAGGTATGCTCAGGGACGGCACGTTCTGACAGTGACAGAAAGGGGAAAGTGAGGCGATGGAAGTGGTAGTTTCGACATGGCACGAGTCGAAAGTCTCTAAGGACCTGAGATTTACCGAGCCGGCCGAGAAGCAAGGAATGAGGATCTCAGACCGAGCGACGGAGACAGGGAGCTTCAGCTGCTGTGCTTCCCCATGTCCATACGCGATTTGCCATCTGATCTTCGGGGTGACTTGCTCATGCTTGCGTGAGTGTTTGCCTGCCAACAAGGAACATGCGGTAACCGGAAAAGGGGAGGACTGTAGTGCAAATGGAAAAAAGGAACGTTTCGATACAGTCTTCTTTTGGGCTGTACCTAGTATTGAAAGCGGCCAAGCCACTCGCTGGAAGGAGGAGTGTTTGAAGAATGTAACGAAAAGAAACGAAAGGCTTCACTCGAGCCCGATACCTAGAGATACCACCGTTCGAAAGCCAAATTCAGTGTGTCTGCCCTGCTTTCGATTTTGTTCTTACCAATCACAAGCTCTGATCGTGCTTGTCCGTCCCTTGTATATCCTGGGCCGCCCTGCATGCGGGCTGGTGGCCAGTCAACTGGTGTGGCTGGCCCCGATGCGTCTTGCACTTTTGTTCCCTCCCGTCTACTTCTGACACAAGATGCGGCTCACCTTATGCCTCCCGTTCTGCAAGGGCCACGATGACGAAGGGAATCGTGGCTAGCTAGACGACCTTTCTTGAGGACCTGAAAATAGGATATAAAAGCCAGCTGTTCGGTTTACCTGGCGGTATGTTTCGCTGG